CCTACATCAAACCATATATACATTTTTTTTTTGTGGACATCAAAATATTTAGAAAATACATTACAGCATTGTGAGGTTCCAAAATGCTTAGAAAAGCAGACCCATGAAAGCAGCACCTGAAATCTGATTAAAAAGCCATGGGTCATACACTGATATGGACCTCTTCATGAGTTGGTTTCAAATGGATCCCAGTAGCACATTATCAGGGCTGCATTTACCCTCACTCAGGAAAGATGCGATTTTGCCAGCCTGCATACCCTTGCATTCTGCTTCTACTACTTTCAGAGACTCAAAACCTTACAAGCTTAATTTGTGAGCATGGAGTCTTCCTACCCTCTTAAACAGTAGATGCTATCAGAAACAGAAAATCAGATTTTTCTATTTACTCCTACTTAATTTCAATAGAGCTTACCCCCAACCCAAGTATCAACTTAGTAGCAATGAGACTGAAACCCAGAGCATTCATTTCTGTTTCAGTTTTAACTAACTCCATCAAGTGTGGTTGTATCAGAGGGAGCAGGAAATTGCAATCCTCCAATTAATATGATTGCTGCAGTATACATGGACTGCTTCATGTAAAAGTGGTAGCAGCCATGAGATGCCAAGCACCCCACCCCATCAGTTCATGGCAGTATCCAGCTCTGTTTCTGTCCTCAAAATGGAATAATCTGCTACTTATAACTTTTAAAATGAGTTCTCATATCTGTTCAATCCCATACATGCATGGCTCTGAAAATATACCTGATCAAATGATTTCTCTGAAAAAAACTCCCTTTAATACTTTGAAATATTTTTACCTCAGGCGTATCAACCATTGGCAACTGTTCTATGTACTGGAGATAGTCTTCAACTGTTTTTCCTTTTGGAATAATATAACCATTGTAGAAGCAAAATTTCTCACTAAACATATGCTCTCCAAACCACACTCTTGCAAATGTATTCAGTAGTGCTTTGTCAAGGTCATCAGTAACACGGCCACCATACTGTACTTCTCCAAGCATATAGCGAACACAGCTCCAGTTCACTCCATGGTTAATGTCAATGTCATCCAAATGATTCTGAACAAATTGCACGCTGACTGCAAAGTCTGCTTGATTAAATTCATAAGGAATATTCCAGCCCAGTGGGCCAAACTTTCGTCTTTCCTGTAAGATAGACAGATTTAAAGGTGAAGCACTAGTAATAATCGTGAAAAAAAAAAAAAGAATACATGAAATATGCTAATATTAAATATACTAATATTAAAACAGTCCAGCTGGGGCTGTATTCCACCAGCTGAGAAAAATGGTTCTTCACTTAACATGCACAAGGCCAAACTCATGATTAACTATCTAGTAGTCAATTATTTCTTCTTTTATCATCATAAGTAGACAGACAAGAACAAAGAATAGCAGTATAAATATTTTCACCAAAAACAACCCCTCTTTTCTAAATGCAGCGAGTCTGCGAATCTAGAACTGCAGTTTCTGAATTTCAAAAATGAAGGTACTATGTTAGGAAAGGATGTCCACACTCATCAGCCATGATCACAGTTTGCGGCCCTCCTACGGACTTGGGTACATCCACGTCTCTCACGTCCTTATATGGTATGGGTGCAAGTAGCAAAAGTTGCTTCTTTCTGAACCATTTACAGATGTAGCAAGCAGTATGTGGATGTTAGGGCAGTGTCTGCTATTAACATTCTTGATTTCCACCAGGAAAAAAGTTATGGGCCAAACACAAGCATACCACAGGCTGCCATTTAGACCACAATGTATTGGGACATAGAAATCACAGGGTTAAATTAAGTAGGCACCAAACATAAACTAAGGATACAGCAAAATCTATTAAGAGAATGATGAAAAGTTGTGGTTAACCCATAAAGCACTTTCTTTAATGGAACTCTTGAAAGCCAAGCCCCAAAATCATCTTTCACCTTAATTTCCTCCTATAGGTTTCAGTGAAAGAAGATTTATATGCAGCCTCTTACCCTTCCTCATTGTGAAAGCAGCAGTTGCAAGAATACGGTTTTCCAATCTAAGCTGTAAATTTCTTTAACATGCTTTCATGATTTAAAACATAGCACAATACAATTAATTGAAGGACAAATCACACTGCCATGTTCAAAACTTTAACTGAAGGGCTAACTGATCATTAGCCGATTACCCTCTTTCCTCTGAAATACCATCCTTGTTGGAGGAACAAGATCAACACAAGCAAATAGGTGCAGTAATAGAGGCATTTTATGCTTTTATTTTATCAGTACCAATTTGCCCAGTGCAGGCTTTACATTAAACATAGCTTTTATTTACTAACTTTATGTGTTAATAAATGTATTTAACAACACTGCGTGTTAATAAATGAAACATGGCTTCATGATAGAAGAATAAGACACATAATTTGAAACCTGAACAGTTGTGTGAAGAAATGCTATGGCATATAGCAAGGGTTTCCACTGTGGCATGTTGCTCACTTCCAGGTGATCCTGAGTAATAGTAGAGTATGTCCGTTTTAAGCCAGCTTTCACACCTAGAAAATAGTATAAAAATGTAATATAAGAGTAAAAAATGAATAGATCCCATAATTTCAACTTCTGTTTTAGCAAAATGAACTCTGTATTAGAATTTGCTATTCCAATTTACGTTATCATCTTATCTATAGATACAAACAATCCTTTTGAATCAACAGTCTGTTCAGCTGATCATACCAGGAAAAGTTCAATTACATTTTGTTTCAGGTAGAAGATGACACACCAGACTATTCAGGAATCTTGAAGGAATTACACTTAGTTAATCATATATTAAATGTTATCCGTAACAACTGAAATAAGTATTCAGCAACTATATGACAATCAAAAATACACTTCATACGTCACATGAAATATATCATTTATCATCCAAGGGTCTGTTTCAACATTTACATATATAATGAGAGTTTGGTTTTACTGAGGATAATTTAATTTAGACTTTGTTCCTATAGCTTACTAGTATCTCAGAATTACACATGGGGCTTCTCGAATGGCATACATGCACTAAGTTGATGAGATGAGAACCTAAATTCATGGTGGAGATGTTTTACTTGTGGAAGCATTATTGAGCACTGAAGTTCCATACCGCAGGAATGGCTTTAGGCAGATATGACTGACCCAGTTCCAGCTTCTGTGGAATACATAAGCCCTGCTCCTCCCAGATGCTTTCTGGTAGCATTACTGAAGCATAGTCTCTCCTTTGCCAGACAACACAGAGTGTAAGTTACCCACACCAGGCCCCACTTACAATATCCTCCATTTAATCAGCTTAACACACGTCTAAAAAGATAGATTTCAAATGTAGTGAATAGAATGACCATGTCACAAATACTAAATTACTTTCTATGATATAATAAAAAAACCTTTTGCTTTTTTCCTAATTCACAAAGCTCCTGTAGAACAATATTCAAGCAAAGATCTTTTCAAAATATTATACAGTATATATATTATACTTTAAAAACCTCCAAAAACAAGAGGAAGTAATCAAGAAGAGTCTTGCCTATCACATTGCTAATAATGTGAGGGGACAGCACCAGAACACTCAAACTGCTTTTATTTTATCCTCACTTAAATTGTTACTCCAGCCACATATTTATTATTAAAATCAAGTTGTAAATTGACTACAATTTGGCTTATGAAACACCCTTGGTGAGGTACAGAGAGCTATCATATGAGTGCTAAAGAGAGGGTTACCGTAGCAATCAAATAGATGCTGAGTACTGAAGAAAAAAAGGTGGGGGAGAAGAGAAACAAGTAAGAAATTTAAAACAGACGATTAACAAACTGCTCTTGAGAGTGAATATATCTTGCAGAAGTCTACACACTGAAACAGACTGTCTTCTCACACAGATCAAACCACATTTAGAAAGTTTACTTATATGCAAAGGAAGATGAATATCGAAGTAAGAGGTTTATATGACCAAGGGATTAAATCTGACCTTGGATATACATTGTCAGCTCCTACTGATTTAAAAAGATGAGGGAGTTGCAAGACAGAATAAGTGTCAGGCTTGAGGATTTCTTCCTGCCAGAGTCCAAAATAAAAAGTAGCCTTTCCTCATCATACACAACAAGTAGACATAAGGCAGGATAGCAAGTTGCTTTTATAAATGTGCTTCTATCAATGATGTGTGCAGGTAGCAGCACAGTTAGGATAAGCGAGAGGCAGCCAGCAGAGTAATAGATTAGAGACTGCTTTTCAACAACAAGTGCAAAGTTCTGCACCTGGGGCAAATAATGCCATGCATTGGTGCAAGCTGGGATCTGACTGGCTGACCTGCAACCCTACTGGAAAGAACCTCAGAGTTATGGCCTATGCCAGGCTGATTATAAGCCAAAATTGCAATCTCACTCCAAATAACGCAAATCAGATAGTGGGCTACCTCAGGAGGAGTGTAGCCAGCAGGCCTAGGCAAATTCTTACCCTTTTTACTTAGTACTGATGAGGCTTTCCCTCAAATATAGTGTCCACACACAATGTCAATACAATGTTTTGGCTCACAAGGGAGAAATTGGACAGGGTTCAGCAGAGAGCTATCAAGATGGTCAGGTACTGAGACCAGGTTACTTGTAATGCTAGGTCAAGGCTGAGCTTGTTCAGTCTGGCAAAGAAGAGGCTGTGATAGGGGTAAAACAGCTGAAATCGTGAACACTGGCAGGCAGAAGACAATTGTGTATGTACATGGGGAGGGTGAAAGTCTGAAACTGAACTTCTGAACTCTCAGGCACAAGCCTGCAAGTTGCTAGCTGAATCCTATGTAGGGTGGAAAAAGTAACATGTCCTGAATTCTCTACTTAATACAGAGGCATAAGATAGGAGTTTGATCACATGTTGTGCTTCTGCACATAGACCACTTAGGTTAGGAAAGCCAGGGGTTTAGGGAAACCAAAAGATGACAACCTTCCTGGTTGGAGGAAATATCTTGGAAGTGAGGAAAGATCCTGGAGATGACGGAGATGCATGGAGATAGATGCCAGGGGATGCCCAAGGACCTAGGCCAGTGGTGCCCAAGACTGGTAACTGCATACAGCAGCCCCGCATAAAACCCACATTACTTTTTGCCTCACCTTCCCAGACCAGCAGCAATCTCCTTGGTGGGAAGGGAGGTCAAGACCAAGTGAATGTAATGCTAGGGGGTAGGAAGTATGAGAGAGTGAGTGTGTGAAAAAAATGTAGGATAAAAGATCTAATCTTATTGGTTCTTAAATAAACTTTATTACCCAGATCCATTATGGGTTGTCATTTATTCTGTCTTGCCCATGACAGTGGCTAAGGAGTGATTCAATAGCAGCTTATAGCTGCTTGAAGGACAGCTAAAAAGAGCCAGACTGTTCTCAGGAGTGCCAAATAACATAAGAGGAAGCAACAGCCTCAGCTAAATACTGCAGCTTGGGAAGCTGAGATTGGCTGTTCAGAAGAGTCTTTCCTTTTCCTTACCCAGCAGAGCACAGGATCAATTCCACTCTGCAGCCTTTGGTGGGGTCAACAAGATGGAAAGAAAAGAGTGATGGCGTGCACTAAGCTTAAGAAACAACTGCTGACATGTCATTCTCCACAGGGTCTACCCAAACAACAAAACCATTATCAATTTCTGTTACAAAATGAATTATGTCCATTTTCTCCTCCAAAGCGTCATGCATTATGCATTGCAAGACTGATCTACACAGTGATGTATTTTGCCAATGAAACAACAGAGAGAATAAAGATTAAAATATTCCGCAGAGTACAGTGATCCAGGAGGAAAAAACCAAAGCCCCCCCAAACCAAAAAAGCATGGCCTTCTACCTTGAGGTGGTTCATTAGTAAATTTCATAGATGACTGTAAAAGGTTAATAGGAAATTCTGGGTCAGCCTCTGTAGTGATCCAGGTCCTAAAATGTTCACTCATAGATTCTGTTGTTGTGACTGTGTCCATTAATTCATTAAGAAACTCCAAGCCAAGGTGGCAGTTCTGTAGAAGGAGCCATCCTCCATCTTGCATGCACTGATTTAGTAAACGTCTTGCATGGACTTCTTGGCCCTGGCCCATTGAAATCGGACGACAAGGAATGTTCTGGAAGGAAAAATTAAAGAGTTCTCTTGTATTTCTTTTGAATGAATAGCCTCATGATTTATTACTTCTGTATACCCATGTGCTGTGATGCAGTATCAGAAAGAAAACCTCTAACATCAATGGAAATTGACTATATGAAAACTGAGGGTAAGTAAAAACCACAACACTATTCATGTCTTCACCAGCTCAAAGAAAACTACACCCAATGGACACAATTTTCTTTTTGTGGGTCTGCCAAACTTAATGGCATGTGACAACTGCAACAGAAACTCTTTGCTGGATTCCCATTCCGGCTTCTTATCCCCTTTTCCACTTCCCCAAATAAAGTAGTACAAACATAAAACAGCATGACTATTCTTTCTCCTATGCTGTGGACTGTCTTGAGATGGATAGATATGAAGGCTCCATGTAATAATTCATGTATACAATAAAGTTACCTTAATTTGGGTGTCTTTTTACTATCTGAACATATTTATTTAATCTAATAGAGAACTGTCAGGGAAACAAGCAGGACAGGAAAGACTGGTGCACATTAACTCGTTCCTTAGCAAACATCTTGTCTCTTTAATGGGCAGTAGTGGAGCCACTGACTCAGAGGGTTCTAGTTTGATCACTTTAGCTGTACATGACAAAAAGCTTTCTGGATTCAGAAGAGACAAAGCTCACAAATGCAGACACACAAACTCCGGAAATTTATGGAGCCCTCCCTCCAGAGGGCCATGGGAGAAGAGAGACTGAAGTTCAGAAAATCAGAAGAAGGTATAGGTCCCACAGGTGAATCTGAAAAGGTCGAGCTGACCAGGTTGCTATCAGGACCATAAAAATCTGTAAGTAATACACAGGCAGACTTCTTATTGCTTATCATTCTTTACTACAGTTGTTCCTCCTGTTAAATAAGCAGTTCCTTGGCTTAGGGTGACTGCCCAAGTCTTACAGGGAAAACCAGAATTGTCAAATTCATTTGAGTATATTATTCCATGTATGCTGTAGATACTCGTGAAGTTGAGGAGAAGTGAATTGATGAAAAGACTTAGCTTCATGGACAGTATTATGCTCAAGACTAACAGCTGAGAACCCTTATGCTGTGAGCTATGACTTGCATAAAGACTTGTCAACCTGGGCCTACCTTCAGCTGGTTGAGAGCTACAAAAGTTAATCTTTAGTTCTCCCACTACTGACACTCTCAGTTGCTGGAAGACCAAAAGGAAGAAGAAAGTCACTCAGTTCCAAAAAGCGTGGATGAGGCTACCCTGCTTTTGGGAGAGAGAGAGCTTAAGTATATGGGCACAACCCATGGCTGGTCATTTGGCCTCAGAGAACAGGCCCTGACCTGATTTTATTGAATAGTATAAATGCAGCTGCTCTATATGATCCTCCACTGCCTGGCAAAAAGTTCAAGGAGAAGAGAATACCAAGGATGAGAAAGCAGTCACATCCTGCTCTCAGACCAGGAAAACCTGGAATTGCAGATAAAAGAAGGAAAGCTAAAAAAACCTGTGAAGCTGGCCATGTGCTGGGGAAGCAAAAACTGTACCTCTTCTAAGGAGAAATATCCGAATCCAGCTAACACTCCTACTGTCAGAGACTATGACTACCCCTGCAGAGTACATACACATTCAGCTGGTTCTGTATTCCCCAACAAAGCATCTGTTCATAATTTGCTCTTCTTGGGAATGTTATTTCTCAAATGTACAACCTCTAAAGGTTACCGAAACATCGAGACAACAAGAAAAAATAATTTTTCATCATGGATAGACCTTATTTTACTCCTTTTAAAAGAATTACATCAAAAGCGTTTGCCTATGGAATACTTCTCTCTGTAGTGACTTATACCAATATAGCTGTACCATCTTAATGCACCTCTATGCAGCTGAAAATACTATAATTTTAGTTATCGCAATGTCACTGAGGGTTCTGTTGAAGATTTTGTACATCATTCCGTGAAAGGAAAAACAGACTACCTGATAATAAAATATTATGGTTTTAAAGAAGTCAAGATTCTAGGCATAATGTATTTCATTTTGACTCAGAAGGTTACTTTTCAACTCACACTTCAAGTGAAAGTATAGGGGACAAAAATCCAACTAGCTTTACGACAGAGCTTAGCTATTTTATAAGGAAGGTTGTATAGCTCAGTAGTCACAGATATTGTTTTCATTTCTATGTTTTTGCTCTTTGAGGGCAGAGCAATAAAATGTAACAATAATTTTTGCAAAAAAGTAATAAAATTAAATAAATCAAAATAAAGCAATAAAAATTGACGGTGCAAAATCATTTATGATCACAAACGCAAACACTTCCAACTGCAGATAATTGATTTACATTGTTAATACCATACTTAGAAGTGCCATCAGTACTGACAATCCGGTTTAAAACTACAGCTCATGCTTGTAAAAGGGAATCTTCTTTTGAAAAATAGGCCTAGCATGTATTTTGGAAGTTTTCTATCTTTAAGAAAAAAAAGAAGAAGAAATAAGATATTTTGGAGGTACAGAATCACATAAATTCCAAGATCAGATCCTTGGTACAGCAAACGTTTGTCAAGCCAAATGCTTATTCTAGAAAAAAGCAAATGTAGCCAATTCCAGAGAAAGCCAGGAACCAAATAAGTACAATTTGTTAGCAAACTAGCACAATAAAAACTCCCTTGCTAATGTTTCTGAAAACTGTACATGATTTTTAGATACCTTTTTCCAAAGCCAAAGAACTACTCAAGATGTCCACAGCTCCCACAATGTTAATATACATCTTTACTTTAAAAAACATCTATGTTTGTAGTTTGATTTCCAGAATTTGGACGGCTTCTGTAAATTTGAAAATTTTCTATATGTTGCAGAATAAGAGCCTAATTCAAGAAAGCAGTGAAGAACTTTTTACAGTTAAATATTCTACTTTAATAAGTGAGCTTGCCTTGATCATAAACAATGTAGGAACAAATAAGGTAATCTCCTGATCTCTTTCAGGTCCACTTTCTTAGTATTCTGCACATTTCCTTAAGTTTAAAAACTGCCCACTGCAATATACTTTCAAAATGACAGTAAAAAAACTGTTTTTTTTTCAGCAACCACAGTTACAGCGCACCTTCCATCTAGCAGCACTTTCCCCAGTTTGGCTAAGGGCTTTTTAGGATTTGACAGAATGGGAGAGCATTCTGCTCCCCCCTTGCAGGAGTGACATGAAGTGATTGGCTGACTTAGTGACTATAAGGAGGTTAGCTTTTCTCACCTGCCTACATGGCCAATAGGATAGAAATATGCAGCTCCTGAAGGCAAATCAAAGTAGAAGCTTCAGTCTGGACCTCTGAATTACTCTTAAAGGAACCAGTCTTTCTCTTTATTGATTATAGAACTGTAACTCCTACTGGAGACAGTGTTAAGCACCTGTCTAGGAAGTCTTCATTCGATACGCATGCTTAAGAGCGAGACAGGTGAACGAAGACACCACCACAAAGCCAATGCTCACATTTGTATTCATAACATAGGCCATAAGAACAGGCTGTAACTACAACAAGCTATGTGTATACCTTAACTTGAAAAGAGACTCAAAAAAATTGCACGTTTCTAGCCTATAAGTATTCTCATCCAACTACCTTCCTTCCTCCCAATGTCTGTATGCTGGCTGGTTATTTGGCTGCACAATATTTGGGACAAAGATCATGTGAAGAATTTCAGACTTAGATTCCTAAACTTAAACACTCAGATGAGAGTTCCTAAATTTAAACATTCTGTAACACAGTTAGACAAATAAAGAGGTCTGATTTTCAAAGAGAATAAGCGTTTGAACTTTCTAATTCAGCTGAAGAGATTTGTGGGTGTTCCCCACTTTTGAAAATAAATCTTATTTACTGTGTACAGAAGTCGGCACCTCTGACTGATGATGTATTCTAACAAGGAGGAAAAGTTATGGAGGTTTACAGTGAATAACTTCATATTGGGAAAATTTTATTTGTATCTACACTGTGAACCATAAAACATAAAGCACAGAGTGCCTAAAAGCGATGCTTTAAAGTCATTTGTCTTGTCAACATTCATTACAATCTTTGCTACAAACAACACAGTAATTACAGAATTAGAACACTTCAGACATGTACACATACACTCCGAAAGGCAAGATCAGATGCCCAAAATGCCCACCTGCAAGGCTTTTGGTAAGACTGCGAGTATACTCTTGTGTAATTTATAATTTTTTCTTTATCTGCCTGCAATTAGCTTTATTGATTGTAAGCTCCTACAGTGAAGGAGACACAGTGTAAGCTACAAGCATTGCTTTGTTTTGATAGCTAAATATTTTTGCTAAGTAATGGACTATTGTAATCTGCTGCATAAAAACACAGAGCTCACTGGAACAAAACAACTGGGAAAAGTAAGAATGTGACAGTTCCATTTCCTCAGGAAATGCATTTTGGCTACTAGTCCAAAATTAACTTCCAGACAACACTGGAAGCTTTAGTAAAATTAGCTTTAGGATACCTTTGATTTTGCAAGAAGTTCTATATTTTCAGTGGGATCAGACCCCATTGATAAAAAACATATCAAAGGTGTCCGACAGTCACTTTCTGTCCACAGTGCTTCCATTTCAAGAATAAATCCTTCTGCATATTTCACACCAAGGGATTCTGCAATGTAGTGTCGAGCCTAAAAAAAAAAAAATCGTTTTTGGTTTAATCAGCAAATATGAAATTTACCAACATTTACCTTCACTGGAAAGAAAAACTTTTTAAACTTGCATTTTCAACTCAGACATAACAAAAGTTACAGTCCACAGGAGGCAACCACGAAATTCTCAGATAGTAAATTTAAAACAAACAAAAGGAAGAACTCTGTTCACACCACAGCCATCCTTTGAACATTGTTGTTATAGGCTGCTGAACGTTTTTTAAAAAGAACTACAGAAATCCATGCAGAATAGATCCATTGTTGGTTGTGCTGATGGTCCAGATGTTGCCCTAAATCACTGATTGCTAAAGCTTGGTAGATATCCCAGGGAAAGGGGCTCTATACCAGCTTCTTTCCTATCTCTCCTAGCACATACTGTTGACACTGTCTTTGCAGTTTACCAGATTAGACAGATCTTCAATCTGACTCAGTTGCAGTCTTTTATATAATTACTGGAACTTCAAACACAAATTGTTTTGTCCAGTAGTTACCCAGTTCAAGTCTCTTTGGCTGTCTATTTCTGCAAAACCTAAACAAGGCTCAGATAGCTCAGTCTTTATCCTTAAAAGTCTGGGCCTTGTCTATCCCTTTAATGTCCTCTTTTCACAAACATTTCACAAAAGGACTTCCAAAGCCATCCTGGTACATGAAACAGTCTTTTGGCGGCCATGATTTTACAACTGTGTAAATAACTAGCACAGATTCTGAAGAGTGCATTATGGGTAGAAGCACCCAAGAAGATAGTGGTCTGAGGAAGAGGCCAATTCCAGAAAAAAGATATTAGTCAATAAGTTTTCCACCATTGTGACCTCTGCCATAGTAAAGATAGGTAAAATTTTGTGATCATCAGGGAAGCACAGTAGAGGAAGAAGAGATAAGGAAAATAACGGCAAAAATAAAGCCCTCTTTCCTCAAAAATTAAAATAAATACATTTGTTAAAACCACTATTCAGAGACATTCATTTTCAAAGATGGTTCTGCAGAGCAATGCAAGTGTTGATGGATTACCCAGTAGCAACTTCATTATTTTAATCTGTGAAAATTGTGGCAGATAGAGCTCCCATTCTCCTGTCCTATTAGCCAACTGAAGAGTGGAAAAGGAAAAAGAATGGAGGGAGTCTTATTCAGGAAAAGGTCCTTGAGAAAATGGTGTCCCCGAAATACAACACGGATGCTATCAGAACATGTAACATGTAATGGTTGCATTATGGAAGGAAACCAGAAGTGCTGCTTTTCCATGCAGCTAAAGACATAAAAAAAAATTGAAAAGAGGATGTTCATAGTCTCATACATTTCTTATAGATCTATATAAAGAAAAAAACCCAAATATCACAGAGTGTGGAGAAACTGCTAGTTTGTTCGAGTTTCTCTTATATTTGCCATGAGACACGCTTAATTATTCCTTCTCAGCATGGAGAGACAAGCAAATAAATGAACAGTTCATACACTATTTTAATATGTCTGTGATCAAAATTAACTCGTCTCTTTCCACTTCTTACGTGAAGAAATTGGGGTGAATCTTTTAATTCTCTGGAAGAATGCAAGTGCTTTATAAGTTTCAGGACTCCACTGTAGAAATGCCACATATAGGAAGAAGATTGGTATACTTACAACTACAACATAATTTGTCTCATGTTTTGTAATGCCCTTTCTAAATCACTACAATTAATACAATTGTCTTACACAGGCATTAGAAAGACCTCAAAAATCTTTCTGATTTTTAAGAATAGCTTATTCTGCAACAAATGTTATGATAAAATTAAAGTCAGAGAATGTAAATTTGGCACTATAGTTCTACATGAGATGTCATATGGCATAAAACTTGCATGAAAGTGTATCTTACTTGGGCCATTGTATGATCAGGGCACCAGCTACGGACAAGGAGTAGTTTACGGAACTGGTCCAGTAAGCTGTCATACCCATCAGGAATAACAGCTCTTTCAGGTGCTTCTTCATCAAACCAAGCTTTCCAAGACTGCTCATTCCTCACAACTTGCACCAGAAGTTGATTAAAAGGGTGCAAACTGGATAATTGTACAAGATTGAGCCATGTCATATCAAGTATCCACTTTTTTGGTTTGGGTTTCACGGAATTCAGATCCAAATTGGCACCTCCTGCAAGGTGAAAAGTATTATAAAGTAAATCATCATTATTAACACGGAAAAATGACAGGCAACCATAAGTATCGGTTTCTACAGTTTAGGGCGTAAAAAACTTTGCAAACTAGGGTATGAGGACCTAAAATTTGCATGGAAGAATCAGTTAACAAAGATAGATTGGAGAAATTGTCTCAGTGCCTCCCAAAGCTGCATACAGTAGTTTTTGTACTTCTTTGTCCTTACCTGTAGAGTTGGAATAATACTTGCTACCTAAAAAGATGCTCACACCAAGTCTTCAGCCCAGATGTAGGAAGGACCTATGGATTGTCCAATCTCCCTTCACACAGACTACAGAACGAGAAAGGACATGGTGCATTCCTTTCCAGCACTGTAGAACTTCAAGGGGCTCTTTGTTCCCTCACCACTCCAGAATCATGCCCATTTACACCTCCAGCACAGCTAAGTCACAATTGAACTTTAAACTGGTATTTGCAAAGCAAACTGAGATCTTTCGAAAGTAAGTACAATGAGAGGCAGCTCTTATCTTGGGGACAGTGGGGTTAACCCCCATCAGAACGTTATAAACTTTACTAAAACTTTCATTGTCATTGTCTCTTAACAGTAACATGCAGTAGCGTTACAAAAACAACTTTTTAAAACATGTAGCAAGTTTCCATGTTTTTTTGATAGTAACACTGAAACGTGATACAGAGTTTTCATGCATTCTGGTGCTCACTAGTACCTGATGGCTCACTAGTCATCAAAATAGGTTTTGCTCATTATCTCCAAGTTCATAAAGATAGGCATGTGGCAACATGTGCTCCAGAGAAAATTACATGCTCTTTTACAAAGTAATGGCCATTTTTTGTGTTTTCCAATATAAAACAGCTAAATATCTTCATCTTTTTAGCATTATTTTGACAACAAATAACTTTATTGTTCTTGTTCTGTAAACTTTTGTCTCTTATACCTCTGTTGTGGTCTATGTGCATGCATCTGCCAGCTAAAAAATATTAAGGTCACTGAACATATCAGTAGCGCAAGCACTGCAAAATCTGCATTTGGCAGTTCACAAATATATGTAAACAGAAAGATTTTAAGAGAAATTACCTTTGACGAGTGTCTCAAACTCACTATGTGAAATCTTCTTGGCCTGCAAGTCAATCTTCAGTGCCAGAAGCAATGTAAACAGGAATCTGTGATTTTCATACAGCCCTCGAACAGTATACTTGAAGACTTCATAAGTGAGGTACTCAATTATATAGGATACCCTTCTGGCTGTGATTTGTGATTTCAGAGCTCTTTCCACTGATAGGTCAAAAATGCCAAGGAACTGTCGCAAGGATGTTTGGTACATGACGTTAACCAAGCTCATTTCCACAATCAGGAAATAAAGGATGCTACCACGTCCAGCAACGGGCCGAAACTCTTCACGTGCATTATTGATTTGTACCTCTGTCTCTGCTGCTACACTTAATTTTTCATTGACCTTAAAATCAATTGAAAAGATCATGCAGATTAAGCCATGTCACTTCTGATTTATACTGCACAAGTAAAATAAAAGATCTTAAGGTCATAATGAAATTTTTACTCAAGATTTGCTTCACTCTGATAGTGTCTCAGCACAGTCATTGTGTCTTCACATGTTCAAACCCAAGCACACCAAGCACAACGGGATTGGTTTGAACTTACACCTGCAAGGTATGCCTGGAATATAAAATAGTATCCAGGTAACAGGTTAATTTTGCAAAATTTTATGATGGAAAACGATAGTATTTCTATTATTTATTTAAGAAGTCAGATATTATGGAATAACTCTGAATGGAAAAAAAATTGCCTACAGATAATTTTTAAATTACAGTTACAAAATATATCTGCAATGTATTCAAAATTCACCTCTTCTGCTGTTGTTTTAGTGATTCTTAAGACTTCTACCAGAGAATCATCTTCAACCAAAGAGCCTTCTGTGCTGGTTAGAAGGAAGAGTAGATTATCTTCAAGTTCCTGCATTTTCCTTTCGTTAGATTTTACTTCTTCCCTCAGTTTGACTCTTTCTGCCTCCAGTTCCTGTAGTCAGAAATTTTCATTAAAATATTTAAGATTTATTCAAAGGAAATTTCACAGAATCACAGAATCACAGAAACGTTTAGGTTGGGAGGGACCTCTGGAGATCATCTCGTCCAACCTCCCTGCTCAAGCAGGGTCACCTAGAGCATATTGCCCAGGATCACATCCAGGCGGGTTTTGAATATCTCCAGCGAAGGAGACTCCACTACCTCGCTGGGCAACCAATGCTCTGTCACCCTCACAGTGAAGAAGTTTTTCCTCATGTTCAGATGGAACTTCCTGTGGTTCA